ACTTTACCACGTGATGATGATATTTTTGCAGATCATCTATATTTCCTTCGCTTTTTTTACTTATAATAATAATAATAAAAGGTATTTCGATTCGTATTATTAATATTATTTACTCTTTTATTGGACGTGACTTTATTCCTTTTCATTCCTCATTTATTTTGACACGTAAAACTTATTTATCTTTTCAAATTATAATAAACACTTATTGTGTATGAATTGTTTTGTTTATTTTCGCTTTCTATGTTGTAAAATAAACATTATTATTTGCATGAATCTTACGCAACATAAAAATTATAACCAATAATAAAAAAAAATATCAATATAATATGAAAGTAAAAGAAGTGCTCAATTTATATTACCAAAACTTAAAAATAATAAATGAAGCTATCAACGAAACAAAGAGCAAATAAGCCTATTTACTATTTAAAATAAAATGAAAACCAACAGTTAATATGTTTACAAAAACAATGGTATTGACTGTAATTATGAAAATACTTGTATGCTATTCATTATTTAAAATAAAACAAAAAATCAACAGTTAATATGCTTTTTAAAAACAATGACAAACTATTCATTATTTAAAATAAAATGAAATCAACAGTTGATAATTTTTCAAAAAACAATGATATTAACTGTAATAATAATGCTGATGAAAATGCTTACATACTATTTTTTATTTAAAATAAAACGAAAGCAAACAGTCAATATATTTACAAAAACAATGGTATTGACTGTAATGATAGTAAATGATGAGAATACTTGCTCCCTATTTATTATTTAAAATAAACCAAAAATCAACGGTTAATATGTTTTTAAAAACCATGATATTGACTGTAGTAATGATGAAAATAAAACTTATTCTCTATTTATTATTTAATAAAATGAAAATTAACACTTAATATGTTTTCAAAAACAATGATATTAATAGTATGAAAATTCTTACAGGCTATTCATTATTTTTTCAAAAACAATGATATTTATTGTAATAGTAATATAATAATAAGTGAAATTCCAAATCACTGTTCTTGATAAAGCAACTACAACAAAGATAATCAAAAAAGAGAAGAGAAATATTTGAATTTCATTTTTGTTGTTCAGTTAATCCTTGTCAAGTTTTCACTTTTTTCTTGATTTTCAGATTGTATGGAATTAAGAGTATTTATAAAAAAATAAAAGCGAGTTTGTTTTTTTTCAAGTTGTATGCAATCAAGGAATTTATAAAAAATTTATAGAAACCCAGTTATTTTATGAATTAATTTGGTTATTCTTCGCAATCACAGATAAATGAATTCCTTAAATATTCGAATATGATTAATGATTCCAAGGAATTTGATGCTTAGATGGCTAAGCCGACTTGTTATTTATTTTTTTACATATATAAAAAAGTTTTTATTAAATAGTTCAAATTTGAAGATACAAATGTGAGCTTTGCAATTTCATGAAACACAACTTTCCTACAAACAACATAATTTTATATCTTCGGGTAGATTTTCTTAATAGCCCTGTTTTAAAATAAAAACATTACCCTTTGAGAATTTTGATGTTCCATTTCTATTTCTACAAAGTTTGCAGATTCCAACCATATATATATATATTTATTAAACCAATCTTTATCAATATTTTTTCTATAATGTAATTTTTTCATTTCTAATTCTCTGATTTCATCATTATTATTTGTTTCATCATCTGATAATTCAATAATTTAGAATTAAAATTTTCTTTTTCAAATATTTTTAAAATAAATTTTATTTTAATTTTTTTCATAACTAATCAGTAAAATTACATTTATCTAATGCATTCTCTATTACAAGTATCACATTCGCTCATGTATTTTATTCGATAATCAAGCCTTTTTCTGAAATTGTTAAATAAATAAATGTGGATAAAATGAATAAATCTGATTATTTTTCAACTAATTAAATTAAACGTTATATAATTACTCACTCAAGGATTCTTTTCACTTATAGCAGTATTTTGAATAATATTGTCAATATATTGGAGCCAATATAATCATACCACAACACCAGCAGGATAGAGGTGAATCAAGGAGAACCTAATATATTCTAACTCATTCCAGGTTGGTGATGAAAGTTGTTGTAATCCTTGAAATAATTTAATCTTGATTTCTTCCAATGTGTTGAGTTGTATCGCATGTATTAATCAAGATAAAGTGAAATCTATAACATGTGTGTGTTCTAGTGCCAATAAATCAGATGGCGGAACATCTTCACATATTTGGACAAGGGTTTCAAATGGTATATTTGCAAAAAAATGCAAATTGTTTTTTTCCTAATAAGACTATATTTTGTGGTAAAAAAATGAGAATTCCTAATATAATAATATAACTAGAATGACTACGAGTGGCAATAACCACCACACCATTCTTATGATAAACACTTACCCATCATTTCTTGTCTCATTTTCTTTTTTCCTTTTTTTTATTATAATTATTGTTTGATTGTGGTGATGTTGGTGAAATAGAAGAAGTAATCATATTATAAATATTATTGTTTGATTGTGATGATAAAGTAATATTATTATTATAATTATTGTTTGATTGTGGCGATGTTGGTGAAGTAGAAGTAATAATATTATTATTATGATTATTGTTTGATTGTGGCGATGTTGGAAAGTCTTTGGATTTCTTATCCTTGGGCATTTTGAAAAAAATTAAAGAAAAAACACGTTTTTAAAAAAAAATTATTGGCAATTTGTGTTGTACAAAAATTTTTTTTTTTAACAGATGACAAAACATGAGCCTAAAGAAGACTTGCTAATAACTAACCAGAGGTACTTTTTTTTACTTGTAAATATTTTTAATTGGAATCGAAACGCGAAGCAGAACTCGATGGGTAATCAGGGCTGGAAATAATACTTTAAAAATTTGTATTTTCCTTTAAAAATTTTATAACTTACGGAAAAAAAAGAATTGAGGTCTCCCTTTTTTAAAATACTTTGTAACAATTTAGAAAGGATAGGCAATATTTTGATGATAATACTATCTCTCTTTGGAGATTTTCGAAAGAAAAGGAAAAAAATTGTTCCACAAAAGCGTTGTATATAAATTTTGATCTTTATCTTTATCCTTATCCTTACTTATTATTATTATTATTATTATCCTTATCCTTATTCCTTACTTATCCTTCTACTTATCCTTCTACTTATCCTTATACTGATCATGATCATTAAGCGCTCCCAAATTTTTTTAAATGTTCAAGTTTTTATAACAACAATAATTAAAAACATCATTTAATTAAATCAAGCCATTTTCAAAAATGTGAAGAAACACTTTCCCACCACTAAACAATTCAGAATTAATTCATTAGAAAACACTCTCCTCGCCGCTAAAAAACAGAAATTAATTCACCATTGTTAAGGAATCAATCAAGCTTTTTGCAATTAATTTCTTTATTGTTAACATGCCTTTTTGAAAATGTGAAAATACTTCCCCCGCCGCTAAAAAAACGTAAAGATTCGGATCATTGTTTAAGAAAATCAACTATGCCTTTTTCGAAAATATAAGAAGATGCTAAAATTAATTCGATTGTTTATCATTTAACAGTCTTTGAATAACGTTAAAGCCACATATTAAATGCATAAATCTTTACTTAAAAATGTAAAAAAAAAAAAAAAAGTTATTGATATAGTGGTAAAATGATATAATAATAATTGTAATAATAATGTGTTTTATTTTTGTTGCCGATTGTTTTATTAAAAACGTTCCACCGAGGAAACGATCAGCGGAGGAAAGAAACATTTTGTATTTTGAAATTTATGGTAAAGAGCATTGAGAAAACAATTTCCACCTCAGGATGTAGTTTCTCTGTCTGGCTGTTCATAAAACTCAAGGATTGACCCTGTCACACATAACATTGAACGTTGATGAAAATATGTTTGCCGAAGGGCAAGTGTCCTAGAAAAACTGCAGATCCTTGATTATTCTCATTCTCAATTAAAAATTTCTAGGGGCTACTTTAGAAAGGGTATAAAAGATTAGAGGCCATGAGTATTGATGGGTTGCAAAAACTAACAACGGTGTATAGATGTTATAGATGGTGTCTAAATTGTTTTAGGATATGAAGTATTGACAAAATGTCTAAAATGTCCAAACAATATACATAAATAGCAGTGATATTCAAAGAATATTGTCATAATTTAACCAAATTTGGAAATAATCTGTAGATTTCTTAAAAATTTGTATATATGGCATAGTCGAACTTGTATTTTAGATTAGACATTACATCTTAATTGTCTAGATTGTCTTTATCAAAATGTGTTGATTTAGAACACCCTATTACTATGATTAAATTTTCAGAACAAAAGTTCCATCCATATATATATATTAATATTAATACTTGTGTAATCGATAATTACACACACGATCTCTTATTAAAATCTAGAATTATGATGATGATTCCAAATTTGTGAAAAACCTGATATATTATATATATGTGGGAGGTGAAACAAATTCCAAATATGTGATTTCATTCGTGTAATGGCAATAGCAATTATAATAATGGCATTTCGGAAACAGTTCAGCATTTCTATTTTGGAAATAGAAACAATTTCGTCATAATAAGATTTAATATATTCAGAATTTCTTTAAAGAGTAACTTCCGAAATAGTTTCGGGTTCTAGTTATCACCATAATTAAATTGCATGACAAAAATTTTGTGCGTAAAAACGTCACAGTGTTACAACTTTGATCCCTGAAATAGTATGGCCCAAATAAAACGTGTTGGGAAAAAAATAGTAACAACAAGTGGAATTGTTCTTCAAAAAAATTTATATAAAAAAAGGGAAAAGTAAACAATAATAATAACAATAATAACAATAATAGAAATAATAATTATAATAATAAAAAATTTTTTTTTAAATAAAAGTAAAGTTTTTTTGTATTTAGAATTTTATTTTTAAATTGTTAAATGCATTTCAAATTTAAAGATTAATTTCTTCTTATTTTTGCTTATTTTTCAATAAATAATTAATTATTAAGAAATATGCGTGAGTTAGTTTTAGTTCGTAAGCTAGAAGGTGAAAAGAGAAAAACGAATCATGGCAATGAAAGTAGCGGCAACAATAATAGTAGCAGCAAAAATAATGATATTGATAATGAAAAAATAAATGAAAATAGCAATTATAATAAAAATATTGAAGATAATAATAATAAATTAAATGATAATGACAGTAATAATAATCATAATAATAATAATAATAAATTAAATGGTAATGATAATGATAATAATAAAAATGATGATGATGATTCTTCAATTATAAAAGAGACAACTAACAATTACATTAATGATGATATCAACCAATTAAAGCCATCATCAAATGACAATTTGGAATTATCAAATAAATTAGAAGACACATTTACAGCCAAAGAAATAAAGTCAAATAACGATGATGATGGTGATAATGATGATAACAACAACAACAACAACAACAACAACAACAACAACAATAATGTTGATGATGATAATAATAGTAAAGAAGAAGCAATTTTATTTTCAAAATCAGAAGAAGAAAGGTCAATATTACGAACCAAAAGAGAAAGTCTTAAAGAGTTCTTTTTACATAAGCAACCTTATAACATCAATAAAGACAAGTCTAAAGGTGAACACGAGACATTAAAGTTAAATAATAATAATATCAAGATATTTACATCAACGGTTCAAACAGAAATAAAAGAAGAGATTGTTAATGGTATATCAGCTGATGAAAGGTAATTTAATATTTGGGAAAAAAATAATTGGTATTTAAAAATTGATTCTAATTTAATTTTTTTCAAAAAATAAAATAAAATCAAAAAGTGGGGTAAGTTCTATTGAAGCAATAACTACAACTAAAATAGTCATATCTGATTCTTCAAAGGAACTAAGTCCCGATGAGAAACGTCAAAGAGCTGCTGCGACTCGTTCAAAACAAAGCATGGAATTAAAAAATCTCATGAAACAAAAGAAGCGCGAACAAAATTTAGATAATAATGATGAAACTATTATGTTTGTTCCTAAAAATTTAATTGATTCGCTAAATGAACAAAAAAAGTAAGCAGGATATTTAAGAATTATACCGTTTTTTTTATTTTGGTTATTTTAATTTATTAATCCATATTAATCAACATTTTATTTGATTGATTTCTTTAAAATTTTAAATTATAGAAAATCTGTTAATACAACGGCAGCAGATGTTGAATCAGATGGATCAGTAGATTTGGATGATTTGATTGGCCAAATCAGTGATTTAGAGTCAGGAACTGTCGCCAACCTTGATGAAGAAGATGACTTATGTGATGACAATGATGACTTTTGGAAAATTGAACCAGATGAGGTATTTCATAATAATTATACATAAAAATACTTTGTATATCGTTTTATTCCTTGCTCAATTACATTAAACTTCTTGTTAAAATTTTAGGTTTTAAGAAATCTCACACCATCAACTACTCCTTTAGCTACTCCTTTACGAGGTCCGTCACCAAACTCGCAAATTTCATCTTCAACCTATAATCTAACAAGACCTACTAGTACCATAGCTGAGGAAGATGAAAATCTAAGTGATACTCCACTCGAAGTGGACAAGCAAGAAGCAGATGATCTTTGGAAAACCTCAAATACAAATAAGGAATTCGATGTAAAGTATAATAATTTACAAATAGTTTTTTCCTTGATTACTATTATTATTTAATTTGTTATCGTTAAATATAAATGTATCGATTCTTAGATGGAATCAAAAGAAGAGGATGAATTAGATTTGTTATTAGACACAGAAATCATGCCAATTTTAAAACCTTCTTCACCATCACCTGTTCCCACACCAAATTCTTCATTGTCTGGTGGTAAAATGGGAATTCCTTCCGGCCTATCCAAGTCTGCATTTTATAGCTTAAGTTATGTAAGATCACCATTATCACCCAATTCATCGCAAGCTTCATCTGTGGTAGATCCTGAGGAATTTGAAACATTATCAAACGGATCTCATACTTCTACTAGCTCAAGAAGTATTTCTGCGTCTGGGATAAGAAGACCATCGAACACCACAGGAATAAGATCACCAACTCGTAATGATAGAAGTCCATCTAAAATAGCAAGATCTGGTGCTTTGTCCCCAAGGTATCCGAGATCATTAAGTCGCGCGAGTAATAGTTCAGCCGAAGAGAGTACCACTTCGTCTATTGGTGGAGCAATATCTCCAACAAGAATTGCGTCACCGACCAGAGGATATCACTTATCAATGTATAATACTCCTACAAGTTTCCGTCAAAGATCCATCAGTGGTGTTAGCAGTAGTTCAGCAGATGAGATTTTATCAAGACCACAAACATCACCCCCTACATATAGATCATTAAGTAGAATTGGTGGAAATATCGGAGGAAATAAATCATCCACTTCAACCGATTCACCCAAGCAAATTCGCAGTAGCTTGCCGCCACCATCGTCATCGACTAAAAATAATGCCAAAACTTCTAAAACTGGACCTAAACGCCCTACTTCACAACCAGCATCTTCAAATATTACTTCTTCAGGTTTATTAAGTCCTTCTAGCAGAGCAGGTATAACTAATTCTCGTAACAATAATGTTCCAGCAAATGGTTCATTAAATAGATTTGGCAAACCTGCTAAAACTTACACCAATTCGCCAAATAATAAAAATAGCAACAACAGCAATAGCAATATTAACAACAACAACAATAATAAATCACCATCAAATAATAGAACACCTAAAAATGATTCGCGTAAACTTAGCATTCAAAGTGCAGATAGTCATGACGAACATTCAGGTTCAAGTATGATTTTTAGTCCTCCAGAATCACCTGTTGGTAGTTCAGAAACAGAGTCTTTAACAAGTACAATGTCGTATGGGTCTTCTGCTGGTAGAGTAGCATCACCATCACAAGTTTATAATAATAATTCAAATAATTTTTCAATGCTTCCATCACCGACTAATTTTTCTGATAAAAAATCTGCAACAATAACAGTTGCTCCTACAGTTGTCTCCACAACAACAACAACACCATCAACATCAACATCTAGTAAATTGCCAACTACAAGACAATCATCAAAACTTCCAACGTCTGGCGGTCACACGGGAATAAAAATACCTACAACATTCAGAAAATTCAACAAATAATAATAATATTTAATAATAATAATATATATAATATCAAATTAATTTTATGTATTATTATTAACATTAATATTTAGTTTGCTGTTATATATATATTATTTATTGTACATATAAATTTATTATTATTATTATTTATGTATTTATATATCACGATTTAGAGTGCGCATTTATATATCTCTTTTAATTAATTAATAATTTCATTGCATATGGTCAGAAATAAAACATTTTACGTGCTTTGGCTTCAAAATAGTCTATTAAAAGTAAAAATTGGTTCTTCATATTCACAATACAATATAAGACATTTAACTGTTATTTTCATTCATAAAAACAATTCTTTTTTTTTTTTGAGACACTTTTTTAAAAGTAGCAAAAGTGTGAAAAATATTAATTTGAAGAAACTAATTTTAAATAAATGGATTTATGTAAGCATATTTGAGAGTGTTATAAATTACATGCGTTTTATATTTTATTTACAAATAAATAATTACAGTATTGCAACAATACCGTAAACAAAACGAGACAATTGCTAAGTAAGTTATTAAAAACAAAATAAAATTTCACGCGTTTTTCAATATTTTCCTTCATTGTTATCATCATTACAGATCAAATGCAAAATATGCTCTACGTCTTCGTAGAGCAGAAAATGATATCAATAAACTTCAACACGAGAATATTGAGCAGCGAGACGCAATTATAGACCTGCAACAAAAAATTAATCAACTAAATAAAATAAACAGTTCAAATAAAGAGATACTTAAAAATAAATTAAAGGTTAATATTTATAGTCTGCTATTTATTAATCATTCTCATTGACTATTAATATTTATGCATGTTTTCTTTAGATCGCTTATTCACAAATATCTGAAATAATTGAAGGGATTTTCGAAGCGGCTATTAATTCCATCGATTCAGATGAAGGCATTTTAACTTGTTCCAAATAGCAAAACTTAAACATCCACTACTATTTAGCAATAATGTAATAATTATATCTAATAATTTTAGATGCCAATAATAATAATATGACAGAAGATCCTTTCAACCTCGATCTCGACACTAAATTGGAAGCAATGCCCAAGAAAAAAAAGCAAAGGGTAAAATTTGTGTAATTATTTCTATTACTTTAATATAACGAACTATTCAATTAAATATATTTGTTTATTCACCTTTAGCTTTCTGGTTTTATTAAGAAAGAAAATAAGAGATTGGAGACTATTGAAGAATCTCCTGTTCTTATAGAGAAAGTAAATACAATGTATGCACGAAATATAAAAAATTACTAAAATACATTCCCTCATTTAATAAAAAAAAAAACTAAAAATCTTCATTATTGTAGAGATGATTTTAATAGGCCTTCTTCATCTTTACAATCATCATCAGAACATAGTCCAATATCGTTAGATTCTACATCAAGTTTTTTACCATCAACATCTTCAACTTCATTCTCATCGTTAATAATAAATGATTATCCAACAATTACAACAACCGATCATCCAAATTCCATCACTCTTTTTGATATTAGTAACCCACTTCAAATTGTAGAATATGGTGGTATTAGTAATAATGCCATTGATAGCTATGCTCATAATGATAATGATAATGATAACGGAATAACAGAAATTTCTAATCAATCAGGACCAGGTTCATCATCATCATCATCGCCGCCGCCGCCGCCGCCGTTGTCGTTGTCGTTATCACCATTAGCTAGTTTCGACAACTTTGACACTTTGGTAGAAATTAAAAAAAGTTATCCGCCTAATAACCATGATGAAGCTATTAAGTCAGATTCTTTATCTAATAATGAAGATGGTAATTAATAAAAAAAACTAGGTTTCTTATACATATATATTAGTTTTATAGATATTGATATAATATTTTATTTTTTCCTATAAACAATAAAGATACATCAGTCGATCAAGATGATAATGGTGATTTTAAACGAAGAAGAACCCAAGTAAATTATGCTGAACCTAATCTTCGAAAGTTAGTATATTAAAATATTGAGAAATTTTAATCATTTATTTATATCATTTAACTAATTGTATTAAAAAACGAATCATTAGAAAACTACGTCGTGGAGATCCTCAGACTAATTCTTTTGGGTTAACTAATTCAGATTTAGAAAAAATGTCTAAAAAAAATAGCCGTAAATCTTTTTCGAACAGATAATATTAACATCATTTATTTATATATTTATAATTAACATAAGAAGGAAATTGTTAATCCGTTGACATGTAGAGTTAGTTAAAAGTTCAAAAATATTTTCGTAATACCAAAGTAAATTTTCACATACATACAGTCAACCTCGTTTCAACGAATGTATGGGACCAACCACTTTAAATTCGTTGAAACAAGAATATTAATAGTTATTTATTGAAAAAGCTAAATTATGCGATCTTTTAGTCTTGCTTAAGCCATCTATCCGATTCCTTTAATATCACTAACTTGTCCTGCATTAATTCCATATTTTTATGTTAAATCAATATTTTTTGGTTGAGTTCTAGTTTGTTTTTGTAATATATTATAAGAAGATAAGAAAAAGGGTGATAATGATAGTTGTTGAAGCATTTTTATAAAGAGATTATTAATTGTATATAGATTTTTTTTGATAACTCTGTACATCACGTGACTTGGTGGAATCATATCCTTTGATTTCTTGTTCGTTAATTCAGGACAACCAATCAATTTTTTGTGCAAGGCCTTTCATAAAGATATTCTAATAGTATGAGACATCGTTTGTTCTATGAACACCAAAAATTATAGATAGATCGTAGTTGTGTAGATTGTTTTTATATAGACTGATGATTTTGCCACATTGACTTTCAGTTAAAGCTGGCATTTAAGTTTAAAACCTTTCAAAAAGGTTTGTTTAAAAATTTTGCTTGTCACAAAGTATTTCCAAATCAACATACAATTCACTTATTATCATATGTCAAAACATCAGATAAGATTGTTATGTGTGTTTCTGAACAATTTATTTTTTGGAAACAGGGATATTTTGTCGGTCAAAGTTTTATTTTTTTTTAATTATTAATTTAATTCCGAGTTATTTCTATTTTTATTTTACTTTTATATTTATTTGGATTGCATTTTATTATAGCATCATAATCAGTTAACTTTATTCAGTAGGAATTGTCGTGTTTAGAACATAATATTCTGTTTAGAACACTATCTTGTGTGAAAGACATGATATAAACTTATGTTAAAGTCATAGATAATGCGATCTTGCGTTGAGGATATTACTAATTAACTTAATTGTTTAAAATGACTGGTGAAGATCCTTCCAAAAAAAAGTCTTTCTTTATCACGTTTATACTTGATATTAATAGCAACGATTTTCTCCGAAAATTCTAAAATTAGCCACAAACCTTAATTTTTGACATCACATGTCGTGAAAATGAGAATTTGCAATTCACGTACGTGAAATTCAAATTAGCCAATCAGAATTTCATATCCGAACGCCCCACCCCAAAATTTTCATTCATAGTTTCAATTTCACATACAAAACAGACACAGGACTTATTCCTTTCTTCATACTCAAATTAGGGAAGAAGGTTATTAATAAATAGAGAAAGATCTTGGTGTTAAAGTTTATCAACCAAATACCGCATTTGGAATTAATTATCTCTTTTGGTCATTACGCCCGATGATCGATCTCCTGCTCATTTCTTTTCAATCATTCATCAAGTTTATAAAGGTAAAAAATAAAAATCTTAGTTTTAAAGTAAGAAGTAATGCTGTTTTTGAATAACTATAGTTTGACATAGAGCCTCTATCAATATGAGAGAGGGTTCATTAAGAAGCCATAATGACAGTTTTATTTTGATTAATAATGAGTGATGTTTATTTTATTAAAAATAAAGAGATGTTTTAAAACCCTGATTGGTTACACAGACCGGGAATTTTCTATTTTATTCACACATTTACTTGACAAAAAAAAAAAAGGAAAGTTTAATATTAAGGGGTAAATTTCGAGGAATCCATGCCGCGATTTTGGCCTTTTTTATTGAAAAGCCACACAACAACCGCCAAATAATAATTTGATTACGCGTTTATTACTTTCAATTTACAAAATTTAAAGTCATACATTTTTTTAAAAAAATCAGAATATCTACACTCAAACAACCAATGCTTATCAACTGAATACCCATTGACGATATCATCATTTTTTCTCGTTATTGTCATCATCATCAGTTTTGTCCAAGCAATTCCAATTAATTTCGTCTTTACCATTGGCCTTCAAGTACTCGTTGGCTTTTGACCAATGTTTACAATCAAAGAAACCTCGAGACGCAGATAATGGTGAAGGATGAACAGCTTGTAGAACACAATGTTTTCCCTATTCATACAGGGTATATGTGGTTGATATTAAATGTTTAATATAATTCTTCATATAAACATTGTCAATTTAAATTAAATTATTACCTTGTTGATATTCTTTCCTCTTTTTATGGCATGATTTCCCCAAAGCATGAATACTAATCCACTTTTTTTATTGTTCAGATATTGAATTATTGCATCTAGAGAACAGAATGATTGATTATTCAATGAAAATAATCTTTATATAGTATCATTTTATAAATATATATTTTATAATAATTACCCGTAAATTTTTCCCATCCTTTATTGCTATGACTTGCTGCTTCATGTGCACGTACGGTAAGTGATGTATTTAACAATAAAACACCTTCCTTTGCCCAATTAGAAAGATTTCTAAAAAACATTATATTATTTATATTATTTACACTTGCATTCATATTCAATTAATATATTAATATAATAAATATTATTATTTACCCGTGATTTGGAATTTTAAATGATTCAATATCATATTTCAATGCTTTATATATATTGAGAAGAGAGGGTGGTGGTGTTACTTTGTGCGGTACACTAAAGCAAAGTCCATGTGCTTGACCAACATCGTGATACGGATCTAAAAAATCATAAAATTTAATTTATTAATTATGTAATTACACGTACGCATATATATATATCGATATTAATGATGATTAGGAACCTTGACCAATGATTACAACTTTTACAGAAGATGGAGGTGTCATCCTTGACCAATTATAAATATCTGGTTCTAATAATATATTAATAATACATTAATATATATAATTTATGATAAATATATTTATTATTGTTGGATTAATTGATTAATACATACCAGGTGGAAAAATTTTATGACCTTTTTTTTTTTCTTCTTCAAGAAATTTCTTCAACTTTTTTCCCCAAATATAATAAATAATAACATAAATTTTACGTGTTATAAAAAATTCTTTCCAAATAAAAAACCCCTTATGTTTCCTAATTATTTCACCTCGATAAAATAAGGTTCTTGAATTTCCTTGAGCAAAACTTTTAACCATTCATTATTAATAGTTTTCAATTCTAAACTTAACAATTCCTTATTTTTAATTTCAAGTTCTTCAATTTTAATTGGAGGAGCAGGTTTTGGAGTGAGCCAAGAAGTTAAGGAAGTTTGTTGCCTTTTATTAATTTTGACAGAAGAAGTTTTATTATCATCATTACTACTTTCGTTGGGTCTCTTGATCATTTTCGTTTGGTTTAGTTTGAAAAAAAAAAAATTCTTTTTTATCTACAAAAAATATTATTTTTATTATTTTTATTAATATTAAAAAAATTAAAAGGTTTGAATTATATTTTAAAGAAAAAGTAAAATAATTATGAAGGAAGAAAGGTTTTATTAATATAATCGGAGGGACCTGTATCAAATAGTTCTTACTTTGACACGTTTTTATGAATATGTTCCAGTGAAAAGGATAAATTTGATCCCTGAAATTTCTTTGTTCAAATGTGAAAATTTTTTAGTGAGAAGCATCGGAACTGGGATTGCCGATAATTCTTCATTTCTTACCAAAAACAAAATAATTTGTTAATTAAATCAATGATCTCGCTAATAATGAAACAAGCAATGAATGAATGATTTCAAAACTGAAGAGTTGGATTTCAGCTTAATATTAATATGGAATAGAATCCTCTGCAAAAATTACTAATATTTTAAAACACTTCGAGAAAATTCTTTCGCGTTTATTTTTTAATAAATAGAGTCATGAATGTATAATCATGTTATATATACGATCTTTTATTTTCTGAAAAAAAAAAAAAGAATTTGTCTATTAACTTCTAACAAGTCATTATTTAAATTATTTGATCTTTATAATTATGAGTAAATAAATAGATGATACGAAGGAATGATTTTGATAAAGATTATGACAATATCATAGAAACCTACCAAATCACTAACTATAAGCTACAAATCATACAGTCCTTTTCGATAAACCGAGGAATGGGGAAAAAGACCTTTATCAAAGAAACTTTGCTGGCAGACTCACTGCGCCTAACAGGATGAGTCTGGAAAACACTTTCGATAACCGAAGGCATAAGCTCCAAGTGAAGACATGACAAACTTGGTAAACGTGCCAAGAATTTTCTCAAAGAACCCCATGAAAAAAAAGGATCGATTCCAAAAAATTAAACTAGTCGGGAATTTGGTTACGAACTAACCATTTTAGAAATTAGTAAAGGAGTTTGCATGAAAGCACGTTCAAATTCAAAAACAAAGGAATGTAAGATAAAAAACAGATGCTGCACAAACTTCGTATGTTCTTTTTAGCACCAATGAAATCCCCCAAAGCATTCCCTTTGGGAATAAAAAAATAATTATGAATAGGTAATTTTTTCTCAAAAATATAATATAAAAATATTTATTTATTTGTTATTATGTCAATGATGATATTAATGATGAATTTCTTTTAAATTTTAGGTGGAGTCGTTTTGAGTTTATATAAACTCAAAACGACTTAGATTAGACTATAATAGTCTCAGGCATGACGTGTAGATCACAAAATTCAAGTCATTCAAGTGATGGGTAGATCATAAAACTCAAGTCATTCGAGTGTTGTACGTTTTGCGTTTGCCTCGTCAAAGATGAGACGTTTATAGTCTGCTCATCAAAAAACTCAAGTCATTCAAGCGATGGTTCAATCAAAAAACTCAAGTCATTTGATTGATGGGCATGTTATAAAACTCAAGTGTCGAATTGTTATCTATTATATTACCCAAGGATGAGGCACGCAGTGCCGAATTGTTATCTATTTTATTACCCGAGGATGAGGCACGCAGTGCCGAATTGTTATCTATTT